TAGTGTAATGCTAGTTATTTGAATTTGGTTTCCTTATTTCAAAATCAGAAGAGTTGTATGGGCTGTGCAGGTCCCTCTGACCACAAGCTAGATGTGGTACCAGGGCAATGTTTGTGTATGTGTGAAGTGAGGACAATCCTGGCACTCCTTTTATGTCACATGTAAAAGGTAACTTGCTGCCTATGGAAGCACTCTGAAAAGAACAGGGTGATGTAAACTCGAGCTGTTACCTAACCTCCTCCATAGTCCTTAAGGAGCAGGAGGTCCCTCCGCTGCGTATGACTCTTCCTTTTTTCTGCCGTCTCTAACTTACGTTAACACACATGCCATGGCATTAAAACTGCAAGATCCTTAGCCATGGTGTATAATTAATTTCAAGTCACATATGATGTAATAAAATTCCCAGATGGGAGTATAACTGGATATTTTAAAAAATTTGTTCCAGAACTTGATCAGTGTTGGTTGTGTTGCCTTGTTCCTTGTAGATAACATGAAGTACTTGGGGAGCCGTGAGTAATGCCGAGTCATACAGCATGTGTGAGAAATAGTGTGATGCACTTGGGCACCCCCAAACTTACGGTGTTGTGTATGGGAAATTTCTTTAGGCAAATATTATAGAAAACAATGTGAGACAGCATAAAATATGTGCTAGTTTAAGCATATATAAGAAATAAACTAAATGTAATCAAAATGATAGTGAATGAAAAGCAATAAATGTTAAAAATTGTGGTTGTTTTTATGTTCTGCACCACATCTAGTAGCATGATTGGAAATAGATGTCATCCTTTATCACTAAACCTGTGTCACTTGACAAGATGTGTTCTGACCTTCGAGGTCAAATAGATTATCCTGAGTTCTGTTAGTTGTTCAGAATTCTACCGTATTGGTTTGGGTGTACCTTTCTTAGACTTTGGTGTTACTGAGTGCTTCTGCTTACTTTATTGTTCGTTATAGATAGAGGAAATATCTACCTTTTTACCATACTACTGAGACAGCCTAGTTGGTTTTTTTTTTTTTTTTTTTTTTTTTTTTTTTTTTTTTTTTTTTTTACTATTTTTTCTTTTTAATTCTATTTGCCTACCGTTCTATGATTTCCATTTATTTTACTCCTGGATTTGTGCTTGCTTCATGGATTCCATTCTTCTTTGTGGGGCTACTTTTTATTTTCATATGGAAAATCCTTAAGTAATCTTTTCACAGAATGTATGGGAGTGTCCTTGTTTAACTCTATGTTACTGATAGGATCCTAGATTTCTTTTAACTCCTAAAAGATCCTGTCTTGGAGAATAAAGTATATGGTCATCAAGCACTTAGGAGATACATTAAAGTTTTTTGTCACGTCACAAATTTTATTTTAGTCTCACAATGCTTGGTGGTTTATACATAGAAATCAAAGGTAAAAATATTTCCCTTGGATCAGTGAAGGATTTTGCTGCTTTTGTATAATTTGTTATTTTTGAATTGTATGTGTCCGCCTTCCTACTTAGGGATGGATGATGGTGAGAAAAAGGGGTGCCTGGCATGGGAAGCCTGTAACTTCATTCTAGTTAATGATGCGCACCTCTGTAAGGAAACCTGATGTATCGAAACCAGATTTACACAGCATCTGAAGTATGCGGGAGATTAAACACTACGTAGCAGTTTGCCATTGAAACTTATCCAAATACATTTAATACAAAAATATAAAAGGTTATTTGTAACTTTTATTTTAAAACTACATTAATATGTGGTACTCAGTACATATATGTGGCAGGGATTGCAGGGCATTGAGGCTATAGTGGTGCACAGACCTCTGAAAGAGAGGTGCATGATTCTACCAAAGACTGCACGAGGGACATTTAAGTTAGGGAAGCCAGAGGGAAGCAGCTGAGAGCTTAGATATGCACCAGATCAGGCAAAGCAGGCTGAACAAAGCGTTCTGGGTTGTTATGATTTAGACCTAAAATGCCCCCAAAACTTATGTGCTTGGAGGTGATTGGCCTGTGGGGGTGCTCTGTTTACTCAGGGAATTCATGGGTTGTGAATGGAGTAGGTGAACACAACCAGGCCCCAGTTCCTAACAGCTGTTCACCGACTGAGCTCACACTGGGATAGACTGGGACAGAGTGTTTTTGTCTCTGTCTCTGCTTTCCTCTGTTTGCTTTTGGCCTTCTTGTGGTGAGCAGAATTCCTCTGCTGTAGCTAGGAGGACCTTGGGCAGGGTAGAGCTTACTCAGAGAGGAGGCTTAGTTCAATTACTGGGAGCCCAGCCAGGGTATTCTCAACAAGAGTGCCCTGCCGTTAGGGAGACTGCGGTTAGAGAAACCTACCGAGCTGAGAACTCTCCAGCTTTTATCTAGAATATCAGTATAGGAGAAAAAAGTGGGAGAAGAGAGGTTTGGGCCAGGAGCTGTGTCAAGGCTAGGTGAGGCAGGTTTTTGGGGAAGAGGAAGGACGGTGCCCAGACACAACATGCTTCACCCAATCCAGACTTGTTTACCATCTCACTGTCACCCGGCCTGGGTACTTTTGGCCCACGGTTTACCATTCACTTCTCACCGAACCTGTGTGTCTTTTACCCCATGGTTTCATTATTCTCACAGAGCCTGTGTGCTTTGGCCTTGAGTTCTAACCATCCACTCCTCATGGAGCCTATGCCTTTTGGTCCTGCAGTTTACCCATCCCCTCCTGACCAGGTGCCCTATACTCTGTCGTGCTGTTTCTGCTCTGGAGCCAGTCGCCGGAGGCCTGAACCCTCTAAAACCATAAGCCAAAGTAAACCTCGCCTCCTTTAAAGTGCAGGTGCTAGGTACTTGTGCCAGCTGTAGGAAAGTGACTAATACCTAGTCACATGGCTTCTGTAGCAGGCAGGATCAAGGTATCTGAAGGGAACAAAGAAAGAGAAGGTGGCAGGGGATGGCTGGAGCAGAAAGCTGGGGGCTGCAGGGAGGCTCAGGTGGAATGGCCGGCCAGGCCTTGTATGTCTGGGAGGGGGAATTTGTTCTTTATCTTGCCGGCAGAGGGGTGGCCTGTGTAAAGGTTTCAAGTAGGAAAGCAATGCAATTAAGTTTGCTTTAAAGGAATCACTATTGCCACCCTGGTAAGAGGGAGAAAAAGATGGAGGCTGGGGGACTGGGTTGTGACTGAAGCCAAAAGGCTGATGGCCTGGGCAGTAACAGTTAGGTGGGTAAGCAGGAGCCATGGAAGAAGTGTGTGGCAGGTGTCTCTGGGTGTGCCTTGGTCCCGATTCATTGCTCCTCCTACAACTCCCGCTTGCATTGATTGGATTTTCGTTCTCTTTCTAGAGGTGAGGACTTCTTTCCCTCCTCTCCACTCTGGGTTTGGCTGTGTGGCTGACTTCAGAAGTAGTGTCATGACAGTTCTAAGGGGCATCATGTCAGTTCTCAGCTTCATTATTTGCGTGACAGGTTGAGTGCTTCTGCCAGGCATCTTGTGCCTCTACACTGGCTGTGAGGAACATGTTTGGGTGAGCCCCTTGGTCTTCAGAGGAGGGCAAGAGGCCAGTAGTACCCAGCCACTCCCAGCCCATTGCAGCCTTCCCGCACAGTTGCCCAGCTGAGCCCCGTATGATCTGCCAGCCCTGGCCACGCTTACCCTATTGAGAACCAGTGATGATTGTATAGGAATAAGTGATTGAGATTTGGATTATTTATTCCATAGCTTTTTTTTTCTCAGCAAAAGCCGACACAGTCAAATATGAGAGGTGTAGCACATTTGTGGGAATGTAATTACTGTGTACAGTGAAACTCACCCGGGTTTCCAGGTTGTTGGCTTTCTGTATGAATGCTTAGGGCTTGGCTTACTTAGGAGCAACTTCTGGCCTTGCTTGGCTCTCATCTGTTTACAATTGAAGGTTTCTTTTTTTCTGGAGTTGAATGAGGTGGGTCAAATTCATGAGGTAAGTCCAAAAGAATCAATCTTCCCCTGTATTTTCCTTTTCCCTTTTCCCCCAGCAGCCTGATCACACCCCGGCAGTGCACTGAGCTGAGTGACTTTGGGTTTCATGGTAGGGACCTCCAAGCCCTACTGCTCAGGGGTTCCTTGTGCCAGCTGAAGTTCATTTTTTCTCTAACTAGGAAGGTGGACTTCACTTTAAAGGGGAAGAAATGTAGGTCCAGGGATTTTCTTGGTCTTGACTGATTATTTAAAACATATTAGTTGTGATAAAATATTTAGCTTTTAAACAACAAATTTAATAGAGGGAATTGTGTTTTATTTATTAATGGCAGTTGCAGGGAGATTGGTGGGAGTTGTGCTCAAGTGCACTGTTGTAATTTTGCAAAGCATAGTAATTACTGTAATATTTTGTTGAATTATTAATATCTTCTATGCCTGTAGGAATATAAGCTTCTGCAGTCGAATTCATTTCAAGATTGCCTTTTCCCCCTCCTGGTTTTTGTTTTGTGTTGTGTTTCCTTTTGTGCACTCATGAATTTTTTAAGAAATGGAGTGAAGGGGCCGAGTTGATTATATGGTGTGGAACGTCCTCGTCACCGCCTGTAACTGAATGGAGGCAGGCAGCAAGGGAGCATGCTCGTTCCTGGATGAACCTCCTGCTTCAGCCAAGCCTGTGCGCGGTGCCAGCCTGAGGGGTGCTCAGGACATCACGTCTGGTGAGCAAAAGCTCATGGCGGGCCTTGTCCAGAGGCTGAGGTGCAGAGAGAGAACAGTGGTGTGTGTGTGTGTGTGTGTGTGTGTGTGTGTGTGTGTGTGTGTGTGTGTGTGTACGTGTGCACCTGGATGTACGGTTTTGCATCTCCAAGTACAGTTGACTTTCTTGTAATGCGGTTGGTTCCTGTGTGTGTGGAAGCAGCCCCGCTCGCCTTTGTTAATTGCTTCATCAGCTGTGTGCCTGCACGAGACCTCTGTGGGCGAAGATGACGATGAAGACAGCTTGCAGTTGTTGCTGAGTGGGCTGGGGCTGCGGCAGGACCCTGGATCTGAGTGCAGGATTACATGTGGGGCATCCCTATTGCTAAACTGGAAATCAGAAGCCGGCTTTCACACCACCCACCTGCCAGCATTGTAAAATAGTCCAAGTTAGCCCGTATCTGAGACTCGGGTTTCCCCAGTGGTGTAGTAGTTGCAAGTATCAATGAAATCTTGTAATGGGAAGGGGATCATACACTGTAGATCAGCAGGAGTATGTAAGGGCACGCCATTGTTGCTAAATATTATGAAAGTTGTTCATACTTTTAGTATTCTTTTTTGGGGGTGGGGAGAACTTTGTGCTGGATTTTTGTGTGTGTGCATGTTGTGGTCAGAAACATCACAGTCATTCATTTGGGTAGGACATTGTGTACTCAGAGAGCCTCTTAAAATGTAAATATTCCAAGATGATACTTTAGGTTGGGTGGAAAACTTAATGCCCTGATCACATTGTTTTCCTGATAAGTGTGGCCAAGTCAGATTATGGAGTGCCCGTGTCCCTCCATCAGGTGGTAAAGATGCATCAATATCCAAATGTCTAGTGCTGTTCTGCACTGACCCTGCTGTCCACTAAGGTTTCAGTGTGGTCTAGAGATTTTCCTGCTGGAAAGTGGCCCTATAAAGGGTGAATGGTCAGAAGAGTTGTTGGGAGACAGGAAATGCAGGTCCCCTTAGGTGGAGGAGTAGCGCCTTCCTTTGCATCCAGCCCCACCTCTGACTGGTGAGCTGTGCAGCCTTTGCAATTTCTTTTATGAGACCCCCCTTTTCTCCTCTCTGACCCCAGGGTTGAGTTGCTTGTTGTGGCTGTTGTGAGCATTTTGTGAGTTTAAAGTGTTTAGCAAGGTGCCTGCTGCATGGTAGAATATACTCTAAGATGAATTCAGATTCTTATTATTAGATAAAAGAGGTCCTGAAGATCAGCCTGGTCTCCCTGCTGGTGGGTCGACCTCCAATGAGTCCTGCTTTTGTCTCCTGTTGAGGCTGTGCATTTAAAGGGGAGGAGAAAGTGGTCCCTTCCACGACCCTGAGGGCCCTGCACCTGGCCGAGGGAGCAGGGCTTCTGTGCATCACTCCGGCAGAGAGCCACTCCAGCAGAGGCAGGTGCAGGGGGCCAGCCAAGGCTCATTCATGGCCCCCCATTTCCTTCAGTCCCAGACAGCAGCAGCTCCAGGGTCATTTTCAAATTCCATCACAGTGGATGCATCATAGCTGCACTTACTGAGGGGTGCACTGAGGTAATTTAACCCACGTCTGCATCGCGTGACAATCAGATCAGTGTCATTAGCGCTGTTTCTGTTTCCTCCAGCCTTTGTCATTTCCTGGGGTTGAAATCTTCAAAGGCCTCCTTCCTAGTTATTTTGAGACATATAATCAATTAATGTAGTCACTCCGCGGTTCTGTGGAACACACTCATTTATTCCGCCTGTCTGCTGTATTTTGGCTCTTCTTGACTCTATCCATCGTTTTCTTACTTCTCCCAGGCTGAGGTGAACTCTGTTCGACTCTCTGTGAACCTGACTTCTTTTAGCTTGTGCACATGGGTGAGGACCTGTAGTAGTTTTTGTTTTTTTGCTGGGATTATTTCACTTAAGAAAATGTCCTTTCGTTCCATCCACGTTACTGCAGACAACAGGATTTCATTCTTTTTGTGGCTGAATAATATTCTGTTGTGTATGCAGACCACAGTGTCTTTGTTCATCCCTCTGTTGATGGACTTCTAGGCTGACTCTTTATCTTGAGGATTGTGAGTAATGCTTTGGCAACACAAGAGTGCAGACATTTGATATTCTTTGATATACTAATTTCATATATATTTCATACTATATTTCACATAATTTCATATATATTTCATATATGTAATTTCACATATAGTTTCATATACATTCATGATTTTTTTTTTCTGTCTTTTTCATTGGTACCAGGGATCGAACTCATGACTGCCTGCTTGCAAGGCAGGCGCTTCTGCCGCTGAGCTAAATCCCCAGCCCCAACATTCATGATATTTAATTTCTTATATATTTCATGTATATAATTTCACATATATTTTTATGTATAATTTAGTATATGTAATTTCATATATATTTCATGTATACATAATTTCATATATATTTTATATCTAATTTCATATATATATTTTATGTATGTCATTTCATATATATATTTTCATGTATGATTTTATATACATTTCATATATATAAATTGCAGGATCATATAGTGTTTTATTTTTAGTTTTTTGAGGAAACTGTACATAATTTTTCATAGTGACTGATTGCGAAATACTTCTCTAACAAGGGATTAATATCCAGAATATATAAAGATCTCAAATCAATGGCAAAAATTCAAATAATCAAGTTAGAAGTGGGCAAATGATCTGAATGAAATGAATCAGTGTTTCTCAGAAGATGATTTGTAAATGGCTAAGAACTGTCATGAAAAAATGCTCAAAATCGTACTCCACTTAGGTTACTATAAGAAGATAGAGAAGTCAATGCTGATGAGGGGTGGGGATGGGAGCTCTTACCCAGCCCCACCTTAATGCCCTTAGAGGGGGCGTGGTGACGTGCGGGTTGGACTGTGCATTGGCACAAAATAGCAGGCACCTCTGAAGCTGGGGTGCTGAGGCCCTGTGTCTGTGGCTGTGCCTGCTGCTTTTGGGGGTTCGCTTTTTTTTTTAGGTCACTGAGGTGGCTTCTTGAGAGTGGGCTGAACCATGGTGCATCCTGCATGTAATGCTGTGTCCTGATGCCCTGTGAGCTGGCGGCATCCTCGGTCCCTCGGTCTGCTGGTCCAGCCAGCAGAGTGTGGCTGTGCTTTGGTCCCTTGGGGGGCGGTGGGGCCACACCAGAGCCTGTGTGAGTTTTTGGGTGGGGGTGCTGCACCAGAGTTGGCTTAAAGCAGAACAAAAACAGCAAAGGATGCAATGCAGTGCCCATGCTCTCCTCCCTGCCCCTCGTTCTGTCCCCTGCACTGTACCCTTTGTTTCTCTAGCTTTTCCTACCCTATGGGAAATGGTCTTATATTTAACCTTTGTCTCCAGTTTTTTTTTTTTTTTTTTTTTCTGAGGCCTTCACACTTTCAGTTTTACCTTTTAATGGTGAATGAAACTTGCCATCTCCAGCAGAGATAGGCCAGCACATTCTTGGCCAGGGACACCGGTTTCTCATCTGACCCTACTCAGCCTCCATGAGTTCCGAGAGGTTTGTCCGAGGGTGCTTTCTCTCTGTTGGGGAAATGCTTGTCATTATGGGTTTTTATTTGGGTAGAGAAAGGGGGAACTGGGGATAACTTTGTTTTACTCTGTGCCCACTTAATTTTTATTGATCAAAAATATGTGCAATAAAATTTACCGTTTCTTTGGCTTGTGTCTAGATGTCTTCCCAAAGCCTTGTGCAGGCCTAGGTGGGGTACTTCAGAGGTGGCAGAACCTAGGGTGTGTGATGCTGGGATTAAGGCTGTGTAGTTACTGAATTAGTCCCCTGATTGGTTAGGCATGGCTCTGGGAGTAGATAATGGGGAGCCTCACCCTGAGTGTGAGTAGCACCACCCAAATGCTGGTTGCCTGGATGAATGTAAAGGATAGAAACGAAGGCAGCCTTGCTGCAGGGCCTATTTCATTGTTTTGATTCCATCTGCCTTTCATGAGCTGTTTCTCCTCTGTGGTGCCCCTCTGCCATGCCACCGCTGCCTTGGAGCCAGCCAACTATGAACTGAGATTTCTACAAACTGTGAGCTAAATAAACCTTCCCTCCTTTAACACTGGGCATCAGGTATTGTCTCGGCAACAAGGAACAGATGCTATGTGAATCATTTGAATAGATGATCTCAGTGGCACTAACTACAGACATGGTTACACAGCCACACTCCAGCTGGACCTTAAACTCTGTCATTGCCTAAACAGAGGCACTCGATCACTTCAACGGCGATTTCCCATTGCGGCTTTCCCAACTGTTGGGTTCTTTTCTTCGGTGTCAGAACAAGTATGGGGACTTCCATTTCTCTTATTTTTTTGCTTTCTCCTGTCCCATCTCTGTTTTTCTCTTCTACCTGGAGTAGGGATGAAAAGAAACTTTATAGGGAGCTGGGATCTAGAACAAATGTGTTCTATGGTAGAGTCAATATTTCCTGTATTTGATCACTGTCATTAAAAATCCCAAATGACCTGTGAGGTGTGATTTGGGCTACGCAGATCATGTTGCAAGGAGCAGTTTCGAAAGTGTTGAGAACACATCTCTAACTGTGCTTCGGTCTTGGGAACTAAGAGCTGTTCAGACTTGATTTTGGTCTCCTGGGAACTTGAAATCTAAGAGCAGTGTGAGCAGTTAGGATAGAAATGTAGACCCGTGCTAGAGACCAAAGTGTAGCCTTTGGGGATGGGAGCTCATGTTTGCAGAGGGCCTGCTGCGTCTTCTCCTTTTCACACACAGAAGCTGTCTGTCCCTTTCTCACAGTGATGGGACTGTGGGGAACAATCTGTAGACGGCCACGGTTACCTTGTACTGAGCTGCAGGACAAGGGAAGTAGAGGAGAAGCCTGGTAAGCTGGAAGGTAGCCGGTCTCCCGCTGTGGTGACATAGCAGTGGAGCTTTGTGGATTTTGGCAGTGGAGACAGGCTGAAAGACACAGGTAGGGGTGAAGAGATCAGCTTTTGTTTCTCTGCAGAAAGGTTCAGTTTTATAACAGTGGATAGCATTCCGTGAGCATGCGTCCTGTGCTAGATTCTGAGCTCTCTCCTTGGCATCCAGTACCTCTGGTGAGGTTTCTGGTGCTGCCAGGCTCATTGTAAGCATGAGCAAACACAGCATGGGGGTTCAGCACTTAGCGCAGGTCAGGCAGCAGAACCACAAGACCCACCTGGGCCCACCAGACCCAGGCCCAGAGCGTGCTCCTCCATCTCTGACTGAGATTTCTCAAGTCCTGGGCTTCCCTCCAGGGGACCCTGCTGCTCTCCAAAGCCTTTGCTGCATGTGTGCACAGGAACTCTGGTTTTTTTGAAGCACAGCTGGAGGTGACAAGGAGCAGGTATGTGCATGTGTATGTGTGTGTAAAACTGGATGAGACAGAGGTGAGATGTGGCCAGGCCACAGAGGCACTGTGTTGTGTACTGACAAAGTCACACTTTATTTTTGTAGGCAGTGAACAACCTTTAGCAAGGGAGTAATTAACAGTGGCACTGATAATTCTCAGAACACTCCCTGCTTCTCAGACAGAAAAACAGAGAGGTGCAGTGGCTTCCCCCAGGCATGTCCAGCCTCCTGCAGCTGGCGGCAGAAACAGAAGCCTCTCTTTCCAGCCCTGGCAGCTGCTGGCTGCCCTGCCCTCCTCTCCCTCTGCCCGCTTCCTTTCCCGGCAGCGCCTCGTGTCTGCTCTGTCCTTTCCACCACGAACCTTGCTGGAGCGGAGCGGCTCTCCATCATTAGAGCAGCCAGTAGGGTTCTGCTGTGATTAAAAGAAGCCAACGGGGGAAGCAAAGCAGAGCAAGGAGAAAATGCAGCCACCAACAAAGCATCTCATTTCCCACACCAACTCCCTAACAACTGCCACTCTCTGCTTTTGTGGGAAGCTGCTTGCTTCACATGCAGCAGAGGGAAGCCCTGCAGGGTGGCGGGGGCAGGCAGGCTATTAAGTTACCATCGGAATGCCAGAGTGGGGCTCACTTCCGTCTTGTCCTCTCTACCCCACAGAGCCAAAATGATCAAATATTAAGAATTAACAGAGACCTAAAGGTCTTGCAGTTCAACTTCTCTAACTTCTCCTCTGATATCCCTGATGGCTTCCATCTTCCCTGGCCCCCCAGATTTGCTGGACCAGCACTGAGGGAGGAATCTGAAGACACTTTCACCAGCAGAGAAGACTGGCCACCCAAGCCTGTTGTTATTTGGTGGCGATGACTCCGGAAATGTCTAATTTATTCATTTTGTCCAATTAGTCCTTTGCTCTCTGAAATGCTTTTTCTTGGTTGCTGAGCAACTGGGGTAGACTCTTAGCACGTGCCTGCTATTGGAGACTGAACGGTAGTTTTCTCCTTCACCCCCCACCCGCCCCCATGTGTCTGGGTTTCTGATGCACTTTGATGAGGAGTACCTCCCCAACACCCCCAGCCTTCTCGCCTTCCCCAGGCCTCTCTGAACACGCTTGCTGTCTGCCTTTGTCCATCTCCAGAGGTGACTTTTATGCCAAGCATTTGTCATGGACAAGGAAAGTGACAGAATGTACTGGTACACAGAGAAGCACTTGCCAAATAGTGGAGATTAGCCTTAAAAGAGCTTTGCTGGCTTGGGGGCCTGGCTCAGGGTGGGCTGAAGGGCATTTGGAAAGAGGTGGCAGATGTCTTTGGGTGGGGTGGTATGAATATGTGTAGCGGGGACAGCACTGATTCCTTCCTAGTGTGTCCCAGCCTGGGAAGCCTTATGAGCAGTCTGCAGGAGAGGGATTTGGAGTGCTACCCAAATGGACAGGATTAACCCAGGGAGGCAGCAGAATGCTTTGAAGCATCATTCCTGAAATAGTACCTGGTCCAATTTTAAGCTGTGAAAATGCCTCAGGCTCTTTCAGTGCGTTGGAATGCTAGGGCAGGACTTAAGAGTCCAGACTTCTACTTTTCTCTGTGATTTTTCTTTTTAATGCAGTGCTGGGGATGGAACCCAGGACCTCACACATGCTAGGCAAGTGTCCTCCCACTAGCTGTACCTTGTTCAGCTCCATGTCTGTGTTCTTACAGCTGAGGACGTGGTGTCTCCAGAGTTCCAGGCCTCTCATTTGCTCACATCACTCCTCTTAGATCTCAGTCCAGGATCTTTGTCTGTAAAGTTAGTCACTTGACTCACTAGAGTTACTTTAGGAAGTCAGCTTTAATTTAAAATAGTTGAAGTTTGCCCTGGAGATATGCTGAGCTCAAGGATCTTGGCTTTTGTTGTTTCCTTCACCTTAATGTGTGTTTTACAACAGCATATACTTGGGCCAAGTCTTCAGATCTGAACAGGCAATGGCCCCTTGTCCTCTGAGGCCCACTTGGAGTGGAAGAGTTAACACTCAGCACAAGAACTGGGCTCCTTACCCTGAGCCTAAGCTAGTGGTGAAGGACCTGCAGGAGTGGGGTCCAGGTTGGCCTTTCCTGCCCATAGGGACAGCACAGGCCAAGAGACACGAGAGGTCACCATGGCCTTGGTGACTGGAGGGTGGCCTGGGAGTGGAGCCTTCAACCTTCTGGCTTTTCTCTGATCTATGGTAAATGGTTTGGTGCAGCCCATGTTGGTGTCTGAAGACACTGCTTCCTTCTGTACGGAATAATAAGAAAGCAGTTATCTTTATGTATGTGTGGGTATGGAAAAGCATATGTCAGATTTCCTAGATGGAAATGACTTCCCTTTGAAGTTAGTTCATAAATAATGATGAAGGGCAGAGAAGTACCCATGCACTGCGCACGTATTTGGCTGTTGCTGTGGACTTTAATTCACCAGGAGTGGAGCATTGAGAACTTGCTGCCTCAGAGAGAGGAGGAGCTCCATGCACTGACGCCCCTACTCCGGAACCTCCTATGGGCTCAAAGGAAATCTTATATTTTATTTTATTTTTTCTCTCTCCTTCCTTCCTCTCTTCCTCCCCCTCCCTCTCTTTCTCTCTGACACCTGGAGTTGAACTCAGGCCTCAAGTTTGCCGGGCAGGTGCTGCACTGTTGAGCTGCTTTTCATGGGACAGGACCCATTCTTTGGCACTGACAGTGATGGCAGTCACCCGGTTACTCTGAGATATCAACTAGCCAGTAGCAGTGAGTTCCCTGACCAGGCCTTGGACTGCAAGGAGTGGGTCTTCACACCCAGGCGTTGCTGGGCAGGGACACACTCCTCTTCCCCCAGCTGCTGACTGGGTCCCTGGTGGCATCACCTTTTCCCTAGGCCTCGTTGAGGGCCTAGAGATGGCAAGCAGCATTATGAGATGCTTCTTAATACAGTTTTACTTCTGGGAACTTCCTTAACAAGGCGGTTTGATTTCCTCTAGGAATTAAACTGGGGGTGGCTATTGTTTTTCTGGTGAGACTTGTTACTCTAAAATGTGTGCTGTGCCCCAAATCACAACAGTCTGCCACTGGCACACTCAGACCCACGTTGCAGTCTAGGGCTCTGGCGATGGCTTTTGTGCAATACCCGTCTGAGGCTCTGGGCTTTGGTGGACGGAGAATGGATGTGCTGGGGTCTCCAGTGAATACCACCTCTTCTTCGTCGCTCTGGTTTCCTTTGGTGAGAGATAAGTCTTGTCTTGGTGAACTTGGACGGCTGTTGTTTGCTGAATGAATCTGCCAATTGGTGGTGGGAGGGAATGGCGCTGTCTTTCTTGTCCTCATTCCTTGCCATGTCCTAAGTGGTTCAGTTTCCCATTTTCTGGATGTGCCCACATGGATTTTTCCCTCCCCCTCTTATCTAAGGAGGCAGGGTACATCTGGTGCCAGATTTCATTCAACCCTGTAACAATCCCCCCTTTATGACATCACTGCTCATCACCATGGAAACATTCCCGAGTCACAGAGACTGGATTGTAGCATCATAGCATTAGGCTGCCACAGGAGGAGAGGATAAGAGAGGATTGAAACTGCCTGGGTAGATGAAAAGCCAATAAACTAGCAAGCAGTAGTGGAACTAGAGGGTTTCTGCAGCGGCAGTAATGTAAGATTTTTCTGTTAAGATCCTCAACTGAAGGGTGCAACTGTGGGTTGCTGGAGTAAACCTCACCTCTATATGGAGGATGAGCTGGTGTGAATTGTGGACCCTGGATCTTTGATCTTATTCAAGAATGATTAAGATTAGGGGAAATTGAATAATTTTAATGGGATATATCCTGTGTCATATTTTTTCATTTGATTCTCTTAAAATCTCCATTAGTTCAGGGAAGTTAAAGTTGGGTAAGATCAAACAGCTGAAGAGTGGCAGAACTGAGAATTAGGGGTGTCAGATGTGACCTGCGTTCTTGTGCAGTTTAGGTGTGTGTATGTGTGTGCGCATGTGTGTTACAGGCAATTATCAAATAAAAATGCATTAGCATTGTGGAAGGTGACACGAGAACACTGCTTCCGTGAGGGGGTGGTGCAGGGATTAGGGACCACTCCTGTGTTTTTGTTACTAAATTTGGAGCCCTCCTCAGGTCTAGGAGGTACACACCCACTTATGCATGCAGTTCCCATGTTGGTGTAGCCCTGCTTGCCTGAATTCCCTGTAGGAAGGTCCACTGGCACCATCTTCCCAACTACCTGGGCTGTCCTTGTCTGCATATTTGTCTGCTCTTTTTTTCCTGAGAGTTTGCTGCCAGCTTCCTTACCTCCATCCTGCTCTTTATCAAGTGAATAAGGACCTTGAGTGAAGGTAACTTTTTCTGGTATTTTTGTTTTTGTAATGTTGGGGATCAAACCCAGGAACACTCATGTGCTAGGCACCTACTCTACCACTGAGCTGTACCCTTAGCCCTCTTCTTTCTTACAGATTGCTTTAACCAAAGATCAGCTGGAAGATCTGCTACCCAATAAGTGGATAGTTTCTTTAAAGAAAAAGATGAATAATTAGATTTTACATAGTTAAAAGACGTTGTCTTGCTGGGCATTGGGATTCACATCTGCAATCCCAGAACTCTGCAAGCTGAGGCAGCGGGATCTCGAGTTCAAGGCCAGCCCGGATTACAGAAGGAGCCCCGCCCTGAAGAAACGAGAGAAACAAGAAAAACATTGCACTGTAGATTTTCCTTGTCACACCTTGGCCAATGAGTGAAGAAGTAACAATTGAGTGTTAATACACCACACACACATACACACACACACACACTCTTAGCTCCGAGTAACTGGCTTGTCCTGAGTAGCTCAGGGAAGCTTTTGCTATTGTGTATATAACTCAGTCTGCTGGAGGTTTTCATGGGATCCAACTGTGTTTTTCCTCTTGGTTTTATTCACCATGTTCCATAGCGTGGCATCCACCTGCTTACTACCTCACAGGGGTTTTAGGAGCTGCAGGTACTACGCCATGGAACCCTAGTGGTGGCCCACTTGGTGATAACTGGGTCTGAGGAAGCCTGCTATCCATTCACATCACCTACCGAGGCTCACTCTGACTCTCGAGAGGCCCCTCCATTGCACTTCTAGATTGAGAGCAGGCCGGTGTCTGTTGCTGTCTGACTCAGCCTAGTGCCTTGTTGGTCATAGTTCTGCTACTATGCTTTACTGCAGTGCACGCATGTGTACACAGGTAAGATTTTAATTAGTGAGCCACATAAAATGTGTTTACAACCCATGCTTGTCTTTCCCAGGACCTGGAGTAATGGGGTTTGACGGCTAATGGGGCTCCTTTGGACCTGCTTTATTGATTCTATCAGAACCATTTATGACTGGTGCAGACAGAACAACTAAGTGGTTTAAATTTTTTTTTCTTTTAAAGTGATACATAGGGAGTCATAGAGTGAATTTAGTTAAGATCCTACCCTTTGTGCAGATAAACAAGGTTTAGATACTGGCTGTACCTCTTCCAGCTCTATGTGGGGCAAGTTACTCCAGCCTCTGCACTTAAGTGTCTTCCTTGTTAAGATTGGCGTGAATCTTAGTGCTTGCTCCATGAGTTGCATGTTCAGACTCAGCAAGGTTCACCTGTGAGGTCAAAGGTAATTCTAAAACAGATCAAATATGCCATCTGCACTTTCTCTGAAAAACTTAAGGAAAACCTTTTTGAACTCAGTGTAAAACTGTACTTACAGCAGATTGTATCTGTACTTTCTCAAATTTGAATTAGAAGGATCAGAATAATCAGCATTTTCATTTCTCATCATTTACAGACATCCTAGGTAAAGGCGACTTAGAGAAACAGTGCGATGCAATTGATTTCTGAGAGCTTTATGAAATATTAGAGACAGTTTCCCAAGCATGACCCTGACCTTAGAACTGGAAAGCAAGTTAAACAGCCATAATCCCACGCCTACAAGGATAAATCAAACCGTTCTCTCCAGATGGTGCTGTGGAGGAGAAATTCATCCGAACGTGTGTGGTGTGTCCCCACACTGACAGGGTGAAGGAGCCCGCTCTGGGTGTGAGAAGTGTTGGGAGCCAGCCCTACCCCCCAGAACTGGCTCTTCCGGAAACTGGCTCATATTTCAGGATTTGGGAATCCTCAGTTACAGAATGGAAGAAAGTGATGACTATGAGGTATTTTTCTTAACATTTTTTATTGATACTTTATATATATGCATCACTGCACAGATGTAAACAGTATTTTTATGATAGTAAAATGCACATACAAATTTACCATCATAACCATTGTAAGCATGCAGTCCAATGCTATTTAATGTGTTCATAATATTGGAAAACCATCACTACCACCCGTCTAGCATCCAACATGCCACAAAATTCAAAACGTTCTGAATACAGACATCATGTCACAGATATAAAATTTTATACCATGAAACTTTGTATTGTAAACAGTTATTAAAAATATTGTATCGAATTACTGTGTATTATAAGGTATGGATGAAACAAACTAATTTTGAGCTTAGACTTCTGTCCCACCCCTGAAGCATCTCATCATATATATGGCAATAGTCCAAAATCTGAAAAAGTTTGAGATCACAGCTATGACTGGTCTCAAGCATTTTGGATAAGGGCTACTCAATCTGTACTCTATTAGCTGTTTTCTTTGTGGTTGTAATGGAGAGTATATTTAATGTAAAGCAATAGTACTCTTAACTTGAATTTATACCATCTTAAAATCCATGGCATACAAAAACTGCTCCTTTAGAAAACTGTTTAACCAGCAATTTTGGTTGTTGATGTTACAAAACGATATCTGAACATCATGTGTCCAAAGGAGTTAGCTAGTCATTCTTCAAAACGTGTTAGCTAGCACACACAGGTTTTAAGCAACATATCAATAGTTTTATATGTTACACTGATGTTACCCTACTGCTTAAACAAGCTTAAGATCTGGAATGTGTACAGCACTCCAGAAAATTCCTTCCCTTCCCTTACACATTGATAGTCTCTTCCTGAGGAAGTAATGAGTATTCTGACTGTTTGGCCTGTTTTTGAAATTCATGGGGACAGAATACCAGAGTGTGGTAGACAGAATCCTAACCTCTGGGTTTGCACTGGTCTCAGTAACCTGCCTCTAGTAAATATCCTACAGCAAAAGTGACGGGTTATCACTTGCAAGGTTAGTTCACAAGAGACTCTGGTTTTCGTTTTGCTTTCTTTCTCTCTGATTCTTCTTGTTTGCTCTGATGAAGCCCGCTGCTGCCATGTTCTGAGCTGCCCTTGTGGTAATGTCCAGGGATGAATGGAGGCCCTTGGCTCTATTTTATTCATTTAGTATGTGACTGGGCATGGAAGAAGCCCTTCTCCCATGGATCCTGGAGATTAGGGCAGCCTGGTTGAAATCATGATTGAAGCCTTATAAAAAAAAAAACCTAACTCGGAACCCAGCTATACTGCACCTGGATTCCTGATCCACAGAAACGGTGAACAATAAATGTGTTGGAAGTCACTCGGTTTTGGAATAATTTATCACACAGCAACAGTTAACTGGTATGTACTGTGTTTTCTCTTTTGTATCCATTTAGCATTATATCTGTGGGATTTATCTCTGTTGATATATAATTAAAGTTCTCCATATTTCTGTTATAATAATTAGAGTTGAAGAATACACCCAAGTCAGTTATCTGTTGCATAATTGATGAACATCAGTGTTCTTCCCATTTTTTTTTGGCTATAGGAATATTCTTTTATATTTCAGGAGCATATGTACTCATTTCTTCTAGGAATATATACCCAAGAATACAGTAGCTGGGTCATAGAGCAGATTTTTAGTACATATGAACAGTTTTCCAAAGTGGTAAAACAGTTTACTCCTTGAAGAAATGTATGGCACAATTCTGATTGTGCCATTTTCTTGCCAAAACCTAGTGTTTTTTCATGTTCTTCTTCTGGCAGGTGTGGTAATGTAGCCCACCTGTTTTTAAGGTAATTCCCAGTGGATGCTGACCTCTGCTCATGTTTCTAATGGTCAGTTGGAGATATTCTTTAGTAAGATGTTTAAGGAAGTATTTTGTCTATTTTATGTTACATTGTATATTTTAAATACATTTTAAATACATAAGTAGATTTTAAAGAACTCTCCATTCTGGGTTTAAGTTCTTTGCCAATAAAGAGTCTTACTGTCAATGGTATATTTTTGGGAAAGGGTGTTCTTAATTTTAATAAAATATAATTTACCATTTTTTAAGATTGTGAAATATTTGCATGTTACAGGGTCTTTCTCCCATGTCTCATTCTAGAAGCTTTATTGTTTGAGCTTTCAAATTGAAGCTCATGATCCACCTGGAATTTCTTTTTAATGTGCTGATGGAAGGAAGAGGCAGAGGTTTTTCTCAGGCAGAGCTTGAAATGACATAGTATCATTGTGTGCTTTCAGTCTAAAATGGCCCCAA